GAAGAACTGGATATTGTCCTTTTTCTCTTTCATTTTTGTCTAAGAACTCTTTTGTTTTTATGTTTTCCCTTCTAGTAGCAGGTGCAACATTGTTGTTAATGTAGTCTACTATATTGCGGGGTTAGCGAGTTTGAATGCTGTTAAGCATGACTCGAGCTCTAAATCTCATCCCGGTGTAGCGTTTGATATGGCGAATTTGTATCCGGTTCTCATTTTTTATAAGTAAGTCATCTTTTGTCACTTTCCCTTTTAAGTAAAGAATTTGTGATTCCATTTAATTCTCTCCCCCTGCACAAATCTCAACCACACGGTTTTTACTTTATTAGTCCCCACCAGTGGAGGAGCTGGGGGGGGGGGGGGGAAAGGGGGGGGCAAGCGCCCCCGCTCCGACCAATTTTTTTTTACTAGTATTACTTATAATATGTTTCTTGCCCCGGCTTCTTTTTTTAAAAACAATAAGTACAACTTAAGGTTATTTTAAGATTAAGTGTTAATTCTTCAATTGTTCCTAATCAGTCTATCTCCGGTGTTGGAAATGCCACTACGTCAAATGAAAATATTGCTAGAGATGAGAGGAATGAGAGGGACAAGAGAGCCCGAACAGAAAGTACACATGAATGGGATATTATTAGTGATCCATTTTTACGAAAACCAATTAATGAATATGCGCCGGGGGTTAGGGATGATGTGATGAGAGCATATGTTGTTAAAGGTGCTTGTCAACCAGCATCTCATAAGTTTCCACGAACTGAATTTGGAAAGTCATTAAGGAGCTTTCGAGGAGAGTGGTTTAAAACTTGGGAATGATTGGAATATAGTATTTCTGAAGATGCTGCTTTCTGTTTTTGGTGTTACCTTTTTCATGGGCAAGAAGGAAAGAGATTTGGTGATGATATGTTTGTGAGGACCGGATTCCGTAACTGGAAGAAGTCTCCTCAGTCTTGCGGAGTTGTATTCATCTGATTTTTCAGTTGTTGAGCAAATGGAGCTTAAAGAACAACTCCAAGTTTGGATATATGAGATGAGAGGGAATGAAGCATTTTCCACTTTACAAAGTATTGGTGAAGTGTCTAAGAAGATGGTTAAGCTTACAATTCACAAATCTTTTCACTTGGTCAATCGTTTTATTGAGTTGGCTCTAGTGTTACCAGTTGCAACAACCACAGTTGAAAGAGCTTTCTCAGTGATGAATATTATCAAGACAGATCTTCGCAATAAGATGAGAGATGACTATCTTACGGATTGTTTAGTATGCTACATCGAAAGAGACATTTTTCAAGCAATTGATAATGAAGCTATTATGCAGCATTTTAAAAATATGAAACTCGTAGGATTGATTTGCCTACGTTGCAAAGTAAATCAAGTAGCATGTAATGAACTATAATTTTTTTGCTAATTAATTACGCCATTGTTGTTCTTATTATATTTTGGACACGCACTTTAAAATTTTTAGTCTTCAGTTTGCCCCTCCTTGGACAAACCTCTGGCTCCGCCACTGGTCCCCACGCCGGTCAAACTTGACAAAGTTTTAATGGATGGAGGGAGTATTATTTAGACCAACAATTATAGTCCAAGTATGGTTTCATTCATCATTAAAATAGTTAAATGTGTGTGTTTATATAAATTCCTTTATTCTTTTCTTTTAGATAATTTATATTATATTTTGGTATATATGTATACAATGCTTAAGTTTTAAAAACAATTAATGACTATTTAACTTCCGGTAATGTAGTGTGTATGACTATTTTTTGTATGATATTTGTGTATATTGCAACTAAATTAATATGCAATATGATTTAATTTAAAACTTAACATCCACGATGCAACTATGAATTCGAACTAATACTAAGAAGTTGTTCTATTCGTCTTAATCTTATTACTTATTGCTTATTCTTATTTTATTCAGATCAGATCAGAAAAATTCAGATCAGACCAGAAAAATTCAGATCAGATCATATCAGAATCATTCAGATCAGATTACAAAGATTGAGATCAGATCAGAAACATTCAGATCAGATCAGGAACATCCAGATCAGATCAGGAACATCCAGATCAGATCAGGAACATTCAGATCAGATCAGAAAAGTTCAGACATGATTTATCCCTTTTATTATAATAATTATAATAATATTAATTATTATTATTGTTGTTGTTGTTGTTGTTGTAATTATAATTATTATTATAATTACTATTATTATTGATATTATTATTAGTATTATTATTCTTATTATTATTATTGTTACTGTATTATTATTATTATTATTACTACTATGATTACTATTATTATTATTATTACTATTATGATTATTATTATGATATGTATTATTATCATGATTATTATTATTCTTGTTGTTATTGTTATTAGTTTTGTTTTTGTTATTATTATATTATATGGAGTAATTACAATTAAAATTATAGAAATAATTATTATAATTATAATTAAAATTTTAATTATAGAAATAATTATAACTAAAAATATAATTACAATTATATTTATATTTATATTTATAACTAGTGTAATACGTATAATAATAATTACACCTATTATAATTATGATTATAATTATATTTAAATTATATATGTGTAAAAACATTTATAATTATAGTAATTAAAATTATAACTATAATTATAATTTTAGAAATATTCAAATCAGATCAGAAAGATTTAGATCAGATCAGAAGGATTCAGATTAGATCAGAAACATTCAGATCAGATCAGGAACATTCAGATTCAGATCAAATAAGAGTCATCAGACCAGATCAGATCAGATCAGAACTTAAAAAATTCAGATCAGAAACATTCAGATCAGGTGAAGAGAACAACTTCTAAACCTAGAGCAAAGAAGAATGATGATGGGGTTTTCTATAATACCCAACAATTTGATGATATTCTTTTTATGTTGTCACGTGAATTTAATGAAGATGATGTATTATCATTTTACTATTATTTCATTAAGTGTGTTGCACTATTTGACTATTTGCAAACTAAACACAAAAATGTAAGTTTCTTGAATATGTCATCAAAAGTTACTATGTTCTCTCTTTATATTTACCAACATTTCATTTGAACTAACCAGTATGACGAATTTACTAATTGCAAGTTTTTCTCAAAACTTTTAGCATCAATTTGGTAGTGTACCGTACCGTTTCATATCGTTTCGAAACGGCATGGTCCGAATGGTTCCAACCTTAAAATTGAATTGTACTGAAGCGCTAAAAACTTCGCGGATACATTACGGGTTTTAATAATTTACTGGACAATTTCGGATAGCACCCACCCTAACATTGCACCTGAAATTTCTAAGTACATAAACTTGTTTTTAAATGTTAATTGAGTGCACTTGTTAGATCAACATGTTAATACGGTAAAATTGGCTAACAAAATACTAATAGGTTCACTTCCTTAAAGTCTACGTCACCCCCCAACCCCTTGGTCAATGCCAGCCCCTCACATGTTGACTTCTCCTTGGTCGATGCACACCCACAAGTCAATGCCCTACACAAGTTGACGACCTGAAGATCGACGTTAGAACCTTGGTCGACTCCCCCTTTTTGGTTGATTTTCTGGAGGTCGACGCTAGAACCTTAGTCGACTTCCCTTCTTACTCAACATTCTGTTAGCCAACTTAGTCATGTTAATGTGTTAATCTAATAGGTGTACTCAACTAACACTAGAAAATCGAGTTTATATATTTAGGAATGTCAGATGCAATATAAAGTTTCTTTTACTCCACATCTCCACCTCATACAAGTTAGTGTACTAAATGCCTTTTTTTAATAATATTACTAAATTCAATAAGAAAGACAAAAGTATGAGTAGTTTTTATATTTTCCAAAAATGTGACTAATCATACATTTAATGTCTTTTGTTAAATATTACATTTAATATTATTTTAGTATTACATTCATTACATTCATTATATTTAAAATATAATAAATGTCCAGCCACCCTGCATTGATGGCACCACTACCGCCTACACCTTTGCCCTTCATCCAGTGACTCAACCCGCAAACGTATGTAGTTCAGTGACTTGCAGTGACTTGATCACCCCATGTGGTTAAGTGACTACTCCACCATTCAACGACTACTCCCCCATTTAGTGACGGCCACCATAGTAACTGTCGTGACTACTCCACCATTCAATAACTACTACGCCAGCCAGTGATTGTCGCCATCTGATTCGTGACTGCCGTTGCAACAACTGGTGTGGCAGTGACCTACGCCCAGTGATCGATCGCCACCCGACACCCAACAGTGACTACCAATCCATCCCCCACCCCATCCGGTGACCGTTGTCCGCCATGGCTCACCATCCGTAATCGCCATCATCGCTCGTCATCTTTATAGATGTTGGGTTCATCGCCATCGGTCCCAAGAATCGCGCATGACACAGAAAGATAAGATGAGAGAGCTGAGGAGGATTCGTGATGGGTAACATCTGGTGCATGGCAGTGGGGCAACGACGATGGATCATGGATGCATGCGGTGACAACATAATGGGCCTGGCGGCAGCAAATGTGGTGCTCAGACCTGAGATAAGAGATGGATGGTGGCGGCTTCATCCAATGCTGTTGCGTCAAAGATGGAGGGTAATGCATACGTGTATTTAGGTCTACTTATTCAATTTGTTTTTTGTATGAAGTTTTATTTAGGTTAAAACATTTAATTTCATTTAATGTAGTAAAAAATAGCCATATTTGTTCATGACAACTCTAAAAGTAAAATTAAGCATCATTATTTATGTACTCTATTGACCATTTTCTCATAACATGTAGTATTGACAAGGTTGACTAAAAAATCCTAGAGTGACGGAATTTGAAAATTTCCGAATGAAAATGCTCTTCTCCTCCGTTAGGAAGCTGCTCTTTAGATTTACCCCAGCTTATTCAGAAAGTCAGAAACATAAGTGTTACTTGAACGACATGCATGTAAAGGACGAAAAGGCAAACCTTTTTCAATGACGGGAAGTTATTAAAATCAACTCAGTATTTTGCAGTATGCTTTGGAGCCGAAGAGGAAAAGGCTACTATTACGTTGTTGATCAAATTCAGTTTGAAGCATAAAATGGGTTTCCATAATGAGCTAAATAAAAATTCCCAGAACCTTTAACTCAGATAATTCTATGAACTCTAACAGACATGCATTGATAAGCCATATGGTCTTCATGCAGAGCCTCAGAAGGGTCTAATGCCGAAGCTACAGTAGGGAAAAAACTAAGTGGTAATAGAAACTTTTAAGCGCAAATGCTGAAGACAACTAGAAGCAGGCGGGCGCTTAAGGTGGTTCTGTACCAATCAACTCAAATGTAGGCGCTTAGAGTTCATCCTGCAAAATGGAAAAAATGGAATCAGAAAATTGGAGTAGACAAATCGCACGTTAAAACAAACTGCTGAATTTGCTGGAAGTAAAAATAGTTAGATAAATCAATTTCAGCCTAACGAGTAAGGCAAAAGCTACTTAATTATTTCTGCTTAATTCTGATTTTTCTTGCAGTTCTCAAGCAGAAAAAAACAAGTTGGGCTAGAAAATGGAGCCTTAGAGTGATTGCTTAGCTATCTGATTGGCTGTGACTCAAACAATCACTCCACAAGTAGATTTGCAACAGTCTGATTTCAATCAGAGATCAGACGGCGTTGAATTAGTAAAGAGAAATCCTTACATGTACATCATCATCTTCATTGGAATCTGGCTTCACATCCTCATCATCATCCGTCCCATCATCTCCATCCTCAACCTGAAAATACAACTTCTTCAGTAAGGAGAAATGAAAAAAAATAGATATTTATACATGTCCCTTTTCTTTTAGTAGCTTTGCTTCTTTACAAAGTGGAAATAAGACTTACATCAGAATCAACTGGATCATCATCCTTGGAGTCCTGAAGAGACAACATAGTTTAAGTCAGATAAGAAGAATGAAACGTCAGAAAAACAAATGGGCTTAAAACATTATATGACCATGCATCATTTTTGGAATAGTTTATACCTCCTCAGCAGACTTCTTTTCTGCCTCTTCAAATGCAGCCTTCTCCGCCTGCAAAATGGAATAAGCAGCAATAATTGAGTTAAATTTGTTCCATTCTTTTGTTGTATTTTCCATTTAGAATTTGTAATATCAAGTGCAGCTTGGCTGAGACGATTCATACATCCTTATTTTTTTCCCATGTCTCTTCAGCTAGTTTCTTTGCATACTCAGGATCATCACATACCAACACATTGTCAAACAAGGTTCCGGATTTCACCTTCAAAAGCAAAATTTGAGTTAAAATACAGTTTTTATATACTCCGTATAACATAAGAATATCAGACAAAGAAACTGTATGTGAACCACCGCAAACAAGATACTTAGCATATAGAAAAGTCCAACCTGCCACAATTCAATGCCCACATACTTCAAAGATGGATAAACATAGATTTCTGAGTCGTCTTTAAATTCTGTTGTGAATGGGGGGATGATTAAGTTCAACTAGATTAAAAATAATGACTATAGCAAAAGTAAAATCTAAACAGAATAATAGAAAAGAAAAGCATGAGTACCTGGGTTGTCAATCATAGGCGCCTTCCATTTCCCCTTGTAGTTGGGGTTCTTAATTTTCTGCAAAAAGAAAGAAAATAATTATGAAGAAGCCTAATAATCAAGATATAGCAAGCTTTACACATTGGTTAGTAAATGTGTGAACCTTTGCCGTCCATGGTCCCTTGTACTCAGGGTTGGGAATGGTAGGGGCTGTCCACTCACCATCCTCCTCATCATCCCAGTCTTCAGGCTGCAGAGTGTTAGCGAGAGTAGAGTAAGGTTTATTTAAAGAATAATTTCCAAGTCTATGAAGCATATGGTAAAACCAAGTATAGCAATTACTAATCTGGTCATTACCTTCTTAGCATCAGCATCGGCTATCTCCTTGGGAATGTCATCATACCCCTGTAGATAGTTATTCAGAACTCATCAAACATGAATAATTACTTGAAACAAAATAAAAGAGTTTGTTGGGAACCTAAAATGTCAACCGTTTTAAAAAATGAATCTGTTTTTGAAAATCTAATCATGTTTGGGAACAAATTGATTTTCTTAGAAGAATCCCCCCACAAGCTTTAAGCTGCTTTTGAGAAGTTAGAAATTTGTAGCTTATGATTATTGTCAACCGCTTGATTTCTTTCTATTAGCTGCTTCGCACTATTTCGCCTTGTAAAAGCTAATTCTTTGAGACATTCAAACAAACCACAATAGAGTATACACATCATCTACTATTGAAATAGCTAACCCGAAGCATACCTCTGGTTTCTTATCTTCAGGGTCATCTATGTATTCAGTTTCATCCCAGTCATCAGGCTGTCAAAGGAATTTAGATTTTTAAGCAATTTAGTACATCAACAATCACATAAGCTGGCGTTGAAGGGAACTTACTTTCTTAGCTTCTGGATCTTTAATTTTCTTTGGTGGGAGAAGATTCCAATCCTTGTACAAGCTACCAGTTTGCTTTTCAACATTGTCAATGAGAATACTATAGGTAGCATCAGGACGAAGAATGAAGGTATATACATGTGTCAGTTGGTCAGTCTCACATGCAACATCCTTCTTGATCAAGTGGTTTGTTCCTTTGTAATTAAGAATAGCGTGGACTTTTTTTGTGCTATAGCCACAGATGTCCGGCCCAAACATAATACTGTATTCAAACAAACACTGTTGCAAATTAGTGAAATTACAATGAGACAAACTGTTACATGTCGATTACACTTAGTGTTCATTCAATAACCTGTATGGGGTATCGCCACCAAATTTCTTTTGATCAATCTCGCCACTGAGCAACTTCATGTACCCACCACCACAGTCAAGCTTTTGCTCATGCTTGACTGAAAATTGGAAAACTAATGTCTTGTCCTTGTTGCTAAACTCAGGAAACTCAGCTGAGATTGCATAAAACCTATAGTCTTCACTGGTCTGAATACCTGCGCAATATATAACACATGCTTGGTCAATAGATACTAATTATTTAACTACTGCTCAAAAACCTTTAAATTAAATAGGCTGGCAACAAAGAGAGAAGTTTTCACCTTTGTCAGTAGGGTTTCCATTCCATTTACCAGATGTGAGATTCCACACTCCAGCCGTGTTGTCATCTTTTTTCCAGTCAGACACAACCCATCGTTCACTCCATTTGTCATCTAGAACTCAACAAAAGTATGCATCAGCATGAAAACAAGTTATGCCAGCACCGAAAAATACAATATGCATAGCTTATGAAGACCATATCCCAGTGTTCCGCTTCTGTAATATTTTCATTTTGCAATAATTTCATTTTGCAAAGCCATTGGAGCATGGTCCAAGGACATATAATATAATCAATATTATACAAATCAATATGAAACTTTCCATTTAGATGTTCATCTCAGATCAAACAAAAAATTAGATTGTAATTCAATTTCCTTCGCAAGGTGGCCCTTACTTCAAATGCATCAAAATATTTTCATTTTGCAAAGCCATTAATTACACTAACAGTCTACACCACATTGCGATCTAAGGTCAGAAATATAAATTCACTTAAACATACAACACATCGCGATCTAAGATAGATACTTCACAGATCTACAGTCAAATTCAAAATCATTATAGAATCACACAGAAACTTCAGGTTGAAACATCAACATTATCGTCGACCAGATTATAGTAAAATTCCACAATCAATACGAAAAATAAACACAATTTGATCATACTACCGGCTATAGCCGAATCACACATTCACACACGAAAATGATTGATCAAAATGTATTGAGAACAAGCTATACAAGAACAGTACCATTAAAGCGCTCTTCGAAGAAAACTTCGGCGGAGACAAGAGCCACAAGAAGAGAGAGCTGAATGGCCAGAGGGAGAAGCCTAGGGTTTAACATTCTCAGAGCAGCCATTGTTGTATCACACAGATACTCTGAACGAGTGATAAACCGTGAGCCTATTTATCTCCGTAAAAATGCCGAAATGCTTCTTCGGTTGGTACGTTACACTCAGTGATGAAAATCGAGCGCAGCTTAGATGAGGTGCACCAATAAGTTGGCGACACGTGGTATTACGGGTCACTCATTTGACGTGGCCTATTAAGATTGGTTATAACACGACTTGTTCGGCAGGATAGCGAATGGGGGAAAATTAGTGATTTTTACCTTTAGTGTTTGGCTTAGCTAATCCATCTAATTAATGGCCCGTTTGGTATGATGTAAAGTAAACACCTTGTGTGCGAAATGTAGAGAAGTTAACATTTTACACCGTTTGTTTTAATTATTTGATGTAAACAGTAGGACATTTTTTTAAAACACTTTATACCGTATAAAATATTTTACGTGGGGAGGATAGTAAACTACTTTTGTTTTATAAAGATAATAATAAAATAAAGGAGACTTTGTATCACACTCTCGACGATTGGTGGCAAAAAAAGGGTTGGCACTTGGCAACAAGCTTAACTAGTTTTCTTCATCTCCGATGCACATCATGCACTGATCCAACTGCAATTTCAATTTCAAGAGTCATCTTCTCAATTGGCTTCTAGTTAATCTTTCCAAGAGATGACCCAATGATGTTTTGAGTATTTCAATAATTATCTGGACAATTGTTTAATAGAGTCTCGTTCTTGTCTAGCCGGCCTGACGGGAACCGCCGTCCGGCCGAGGGCATTTCGGGCACTTCCCGATCAAATTTTTTGATGAAAGTTTTTGAGCATGTTCTTCATCAAGTCTAGTTTATCCATACCAAATTTCAGTTCAAAATTCGATCGGGAAGGCATTCAAATAATTTTTGAAGTTGACTGCGTCAAAATATACATATAAAAACGAAGTCAACTTCAAAAAATGATTTGAATGCCTTCCCGATCAAATTTTGAGATGAAATTTGGTATGGATAAACTAGACTTGATGAAGAACATGCTCAAAAACTTTCATCAAAAAATTCGATCGGGAAGTGCCCGAAATTCCCTTGGCCGGACGGCAGTTCCCGTCAGGCCGGCTGGACATGAAAAGTCCTCTTGTTTAATACGAAGTATATACTATCGTATACATAATACTAGTATTATATTGATAGTATATAATATACGGAGTATTATATATATACGTGTATATATAAACTAGTGGTGGGTGACTTATTTCAATCAATGTATTTATTCTACATGAATTTTTAAAATGGATCACATACCTCTCCAAACAATGTATTTTATTTTACGTGCAAAATGATTACACTCCTACAGTTTACCTGCAATCATTTTACTTGTAAAGTTTTAATATACAAAGAACCAAACGCTCCAAGTGTGTTTTGGTAACAAGCTGGCCAAACACAACCTATTTGACTGCTCGAGTCAATTCACGTGGAAAAAAAGTCTAATATCAATATTGTATGTAGTAGTACTATGTAGTACATAGATTAAGATATGAATGTATTATTTGTATAAATACGCATAAAAACGGTAAATTATATTGTGACATCGTTATAGTGTATGTTATACCAGTTACAAATACAGCACAATTCTTTTCCTCTCCGTTGCAATATCAACGGTTCATTTCTTTTCCTTCAATTTTGTGATTTCTTCTTTATTTTTTTCTCTAATTCTTTTCTTCTTCTTCATCAAAAATACTAAAAAATTTATTAACTCACATAAAACAAGTATATCCATAATAGTATAGTATTTCTTTATGTAATTATTTTTCTATCCATGCGTTTTCTGTAATATATTTACATATTCATACACTTTTTTGTAATATATTTTATCTCTTTTATATGTTTTTTACTTGATTTTAAGACATTGAGTTTGTTTTATTTCGATTTAGATTCTATAATAGATGAGATTAAATTTTTATGTGTGTGATTTACATTCTCATATATGTGAGTTACATTTATACATAATCCCTCAAGTTACATTTAATAATACTGAAAGTTACATCTTCTTATGCGTGATTTACATCATCGTATACGTGAGTCACATCTTCATTTGCGCGAATTACATCTTCATGTGCGCGAGTTACATTTTTCATATGAGTGGGTTACACCTGAGTTTGCCCAAGCAAGTTACATTTTGTATACGCACAAATTACATTTCGATTTGTCTGAAGTTACATTTTTCATACACGGGATTTACATTTCATATATAAAAAGTAGAGTGATCGCTAGAGGGAGTAAAGTGAATTACACTCCAGTGAACGAGTTATATTTGTCACTACCTGAGATTACATTTTGTAGTAACGAGCGTGAGTTACATTTCAATACATGAAATTACATCACGAAAAATCTTGAGACAAAAATATGGGTATTTTTCCTGCGCATTTTTTATATTAACACTTAAACCTAAATGATGTCATTTAGGAGCGAGAGTATAATGTTCGTCATGGGTCACTTTCACGGTATAACATCTGTGTAAAAGGTATTTGAAATAATTGATGTTCCATTATACTTTGTGAGCTTTAGTTTTTAGTTGTCCCAGATTTTTTATCATTTTCCAATTAGAACAACTAATTTATGCTTCAACTCTTTTCTCTATCCTCTGCACAAACTCAACCACACATCTTTTAGTTTACTTATTTCTTACATATATGAGTACATACATTTTTGTGTGAATATAGACAATACATGTTTATATATAGACATTGGTTTGCGTTTAAATCACATTAACTCACATACTTTTTTTTTGTAGAAATGTCAGGGTTAGGTTGCACAAAAACCAATGCTTGTGTACAAGGACATTAGTTGTCTATATCCAGACAAAAAGTATATATATATATATATATATATATATATATATATATATATATATATATATATACTCATACATTTTTGTTTGTGTAACACATACATTGATTTTCGTGCAACCTAACCTTCACTTTTCTGATACTTTTTGTGTGTATATAGACACTGAAATAAAACCAATGTCTCGACAGTTTTTTTTTTGTCTATGGCAAAATTTTATAAAATGTTACAAATTTTAATTTTTTCCCTGCACACAAGTTATATCATTGTTTAACATGGCACAAACTATATTTTATATACCACACGGACAAAAATTATGACGGTCATTCAACTCTAATTTTTTGGTGGCTCTCCGGTGATTTTCCGGTGACTTTTAAATACTATTCCCTAACCCTCACTTTTCTGATACTTTTTGTGTGTATATAGACACTGAAATAAAACCAGTGTCTGGACAGATTTTTTTTTTGTCTATGGCAAAATTTTATAAAATGTTACAAATTTTAATTTTTTTCCCTACACACAAGTTATATCATTGTTTAACATGGCACAAACTATATTTTATATACCACACAGACAAAAATTATGATGGCCATTCAACACTAATTTTTTGGTGGCTCTCTGGTGATTTTCCGGTGTCTTTTAAACATTATCCCCCCCCCCCCCCCCCCCCCGCCCATGATGCACAGATAAAAATAAAGGTGAAGGTGATGGTGAAAGAAAAGGAGAAAGGAGAGAATGAGATCGGAGAACTAGGAGGAGAATTAGAGAGAGGAGAAGAATGGGTACTGAATCAGCTCTGTGAGCTCAGTCCTCAAACCATTATTCCTGTAAAAATAAGGTGTGTTATAGTAAACTGTCTTTGCCAATATGGACCTTAATTTGGTTGGATTTAAAACTTGACATTTCTGTTCCGGTCATTGACTGCAATAATAGCACATAAGTCAACTGTCATGTACTCATGTAGCCTGAATACTTTGAGGGTCTGTCATGCAACTTGAAGTGTCATGAAGAATACAGAGCAAGTACAAAGACTACGTCCTAAGGTAATAATCTGATTCTTGAGTGAAATCTTAAACTGTTAAACATGTTTCTATAACCAGAACTCCAGAAGCCATTATATTTGGACTGTGGTGTTTCCTTTACCCCAGACAGAGCTTTGCGGTTTTCACTTTCCAGATTCTTTATAAGATCTCATTTTGTCATTGATGGACAGGAAACTCCAAAATTGTTTGTTATGGCACTTCTGTTTTCTTCAATAAATAGGTATGGTTTGGCATTGGTATGATAATTTGCATAGTCTTGTTTTGAAATGGTACAATACCAGCTAGTTCTAGGACTAAACCAAACTATACCAAACCATTTGAATAATCATGATTCAATACCCCTTTCAGGAAGATGAAACCATACTACCCCACACCATGCCCAAGCAACCGACCCTGCGCCATCTTGAAGGCAGAATTTATAACAATGAAAACTAGAAACATATGTACACAAACATATATTCCTGAAATTTAGTATACCACAGCAATCAGTATGACTGGTTTACCCATAATGGCAGAGGTGCCCTAAGCAAAACAGGTTGCCCAGAAACAGGATGTGTGAATGACAATGTTTCGGCATGAAGTTCATGGCCAGTATATGTATGACCCTTCCACTCATACACTCCTTCATATTTTACGTCTCCTCTAATTGGAATCCCAAGATACTGACAGTGCAAGCGTATTTGATGGGTTCTTCCACTCCGAGGGTATGCCCGAATCAAAACAACATCTTTCTTCATATCCAAATCAACCATAGATTTATCTTCAACAACCACTAAGGACCCGTTCTCTCCATCTGAAAAAAAAATGAACTGGCATAAGCTTCTTAAGATCTGGCCCGGTCATGACCTTTCAGGTTTATCTAAACCAATACGAGTGTTTCTGGGTCTGGTTTGTATCTTTCTGATTAGGACTAGCCTGCAACTTTCTTGCCTAATCTCTTGACTGATATGAGTAATGGTAAAGAGATATTAAATGTACATTCTAGAGAAGCATCCATATGTGACAAACATGTCAAACTTTTTATCACCCAATGAATTTGATGTATTCCTAAAATGTTTACATTTTATGCCCCCTAACATTACTCGTCCAAACATATCTCATCCGATTATATGTATCTTTTGGTCAATGTTCCTGGTCTGGTTTGAATGATCAGACATGGATAAAAAGAATAAGTAATAAAAAAGTGTAAGATGGCGAGAAGCACCTAACTCTCCCTCTTTTTCGGCCTCTAGGTGTCGAACCCCGTTGATAGATAGAACTTGGAAAGAGGTCTCCATGTCTTTAACGACTGATCCGCCTGGCAGTGACCGGCCCACATCAGACGTGGCATAAACACGCCATGCCCCATGTTTTGACCGCCCATGTCCTGACCGGATGACAAGTTGTCCCCATTTAGGTGCTTGTCCTACACACAGACCAAGATATGTTTTCCTAACTTTATGGTCTGTAAATGCTTTAACGAGCTTAGCAGCTACTTTGTGGGACTTGGTGATTACCATTACACCACTTGTGTCCCGATCCAGTCTGTTAGCTAAATGCAGTTCAGGGTGTTTGGCACCTGAAGATACGTAAATGCATATTTAACATCAGGGGTTATCTTCAATTCAAATATGTTCTTAGATTGAAAGCTTTACCAATAATCAACCACATTGCTACAGAGTACAGACCCTCAATTCACATCAGCAATATTAACACTATGCGTATTCTTTCTTCTCATTTACAAGGTAACCCAGTCGTACAAGAACTATACATCAAGCCACATATAATGACTACAAACCTAAATCATATTCTACTGTAAAAATTGCTCCTATCACCATGAAAGTCCTCAAGTCTAATCAAACAAGTCACAATGCATATATTTAGAACCGAAAAGGATGAATTTGGCCAAATGACTGAAATTTCTGAAATTGTGGTAGCACGGAGTAATAACTAAAAAAGGAATTGCCCTAAATATGAGTAAAAACGTTTGGAATTCCAAAATAGGAATAACTACTACTAGTATCTTTTATTCCCTAAATAGGAGTAATTACGACCATGTTTTGGCATTGACAGACTTTAAATATGACATTATTATCCAAACTCGGCAGCAATTACTCACATTCAAGGAATATCGTAATCCTATTGTGGGATTTCAAAAACTCTTTACTCTTATTTCCAAAAAAATCCCTAGCTAAAATTATTGAAATGTAAAATGTACGTAGTATTCTTTTATAAACTTATAACCAGTTAACCATAATGCTGGAAATCATTATAGAAGTCCCCTTTCAATTATTTTAGCAACTTCAGCAAATAAAAACATTCTTTACTACCTTTTCCTTCACCAAACAATTCAGTCTAATAATGAAAAGCAAGGAAATTTTCTTTTGGACAGAATTTTAAAATTCCGGTTTGATTTTATCTGGTTATAATTGTAATAAAATATGCAGCAAACCTGGTAGTTCAGTAATGGTCCAATACATCGGAGTGATCGGACTGAAAAAAGTTCTACTGGATAACACGTCCTAAGTTAGTTGATGTAAGTTTTGGGTATTAAAAAAACAGTCACCTGAGTGGAACTCAATCTCCAACTCAATCAGTCATTTCAATGCGTCTGCCGAAGCAGATTAAGCAACTCTACAAAGTCTAATACGTATGGAGGAGTCCCGTTCTTCAGCAAATTTCTCTTTTTCCATTCAATTTTCCATTCAATGCAACAATTAAAGATACAATGAATCTTTTAATAATATAAAAGAGATTGATCTTATCATAGCGAGAAACTCACTGAGTTCGTTATCCGAGCCTGTTATTAGAAGATTCAAGACAGCGGACAATACGCTTTCGCAATAGATTCCTCGAGGCTTGTTGACCGCGACGAGCCACTCGTCTTCGAAGATGACGTCGTCCCTGGATAGAGAAAACAGCGCTGATCTAGAGGATGCCGTCAAGGCCCTGTTTAACTCTATGTCCTTGGATAATGAAGGAAGAGGCGGAGACAGTGGCACGGGGTAATCACCGAGCTCGTCCACAGGTTGGCTTGCCATTGAGGTTTGGGCAAAATGGCGATGGAGTTTCAGGGGGCTGAAAGGAGAAGTTCGTAATGCGGAAGACGGAAGACGGAGGAGAATGGGCACGCTGGTCATTACATGTTTATGGTGCGAAAGGACCAGTCTGGTCACTTAGACCTGGGATGTTTGGAAAACCGGGTTTGACTCAATAGCTTATGTGATTGAAATTTGTACAGAGGAGAAAGAATTAACTTTAGTCATATATTTCTACTTTAATAGAAATGACAAATCTTTGTTAGACATCCAAAAAAGGAAATTTGGTCAACTTTTTCGGGACGGAGGGAGTATGTCTTTAGCTAGAACCGTTGAAACGAAAATGCCTCAAAAGGAGAGTTATAGTTTTGAAATATGATGTTTCTACTGATTGTCAAGGTCAAATAACTAAATTATCAAACATACTCTGACAACTCGTCAACTTATTCTGCTTGTTAAATCCGCTGATTAAATCAGATGTCCACAAATCGCTAACACAATATGTTACCCGCTAATCAGAAAATGCAAAACACACCCGTTGTCGGCGTCAAACCAATAGTCCAATACTCAGTATTTGGGAAAATGGGATAGTATTTGTTTTGGAGATTCAAAATAAAATAATTACTACTACGTATAAGCCAAGTACTTTGTGATTCAATGGGATCATTGTAGCAATCTCGATAAGGATATCGCGTGTTCAAACTCATCTCACTCAAAGATGCTAACATTTAACAGAGCATATACTATAGTGTGCGAGAAAGTAAAAAAATACAATTTCTATAACATTTAAAAATAGGATACTATATTTTTTATTCTCAAATAAGAGTAATAACTATCAAAGTTAGGAAATACTATTATGTTCAAAATCTGATAAAATCAAAAACGTAATTACTCTTATATAGGGAATACAACATTGTACTCCTATTTTGTAATTTACAAACATTTAACTCCTATTTGGGGACTGTAAAAAAATAACTCCTATATGGGATAATTTCACTTCCTAACCCCATCAATATTTTCTTGAATCTAGTCAAGTTATTCTTCATCTAAATGCAACATAAGTCCATATATTGTGAAAATTATTGAGCTCATTTAGCAACACTTTATCATCTATTTGATTATGATACCATTATGTTTACAATATTTTTGTGAATAAAATAAAGAAAAATTATGTGCTCTAGAAAATTTTTATATGGGTTGAAACAAGCTCCAAAACAATGGAATGGAAAAATTGGCAAAATGTTATTTATTTATGATTTTACCTCACTAGAAGTATATAAGTGTGTATGCACTAAATGTGAAAAGTTGTGTGCATTATTACTTGTTTATATGTGGATGATATGTGATTTCGGGTATGAAAGTCATAAGGAAGGATGATGATATTATGCTGAAAAACTTATAAAGAGATTTGGACATTTCGATGTCACCACTGTTAGTATCCCTTACGACTCTCATATACACTTAAAAAAGAGGTGATCCCGAGGCTCAATACGAGTATTCCCAAATTATTGGATGTTTATTACACTTGATGAATTACACTAGGCCCGACACTAGAAAAATTATCCTTTCAAAAAAACATAAAGAAAACTTATATGAAAACATCTCAAATAAAGCCATCTTTAACAAATTCAGCTCACTCTTCAAAATAACTCTGACCTTGTTTTGATTATTACACAATTTAATGTGTAAATTAGTGTGTGTTTATTAAAAAAATATTTGATAAGACCGATACGCTGAAATATGAACTACCAAATGGGGTGATTTTAAATAGAAATGAAACCTAAGCAAAGTATGAAATAATTACATAAATATGATCAAAATAAAGATGATTTACAAAAATATGATTAGTGACTAGAGTAGTAATGAAATCATAGTAATTCATGTTCAAGTTTTGAGCTTAAGTTACCCCAACACCACATTGTAGTAATGAATAATCATATTTATGTAAATATGTTTTATTTTAGTAATATTATTGTAAAAAAAAAAACCGCAAAGTATCTCTTGAGGGTGAGTGAGTTTTTTTAAATATGATGGTCTTATTTGAGAAAATGCGTTTGGGGAAATTTCTCTTTACGGTGGGTGTCCATGTCTATATCATTATGCGGAGTCAGTTAGGTGATCGATATAAGTGTTATGTTATTGAGTGTAGGTAGGTAATACTTATTGATTTGATATAATTTATAGTAGATATATAATTATGGAAAATGCATAAATGGTCCTTGAACTATCATCATACCATTTTGGTCCTCAAACTATTAAATATATCATTTTAATCTTTAATCTATTTAATCTATATTAATCGAGTCCTTCCGTTAAAATTTGCCATTAACATTAACGGTAGCTAATTTATTAACATCTCATGGTTTTAAACATTTTAGAACAATACAATTATTTTTAAAATTTAAGTAGCTAATCTAGTTCTTTTTTTAAATATACATATATACACACACAGATATAAAAATTATAAATAATTAATTAAATAAATAATATAAAACCAAATTTATGGCTTAAATAATACTAGTACTACGCATATAAGAGAGAATCAAATAACTCAATTATATACATATGAGTAGATAAAGTCAATAAGAAAATGAGAATGGTTGTTATTATTATTAATTATATTAAGAGAAAATTATCCTAGGTATGACTAAAACTCATTCACTTTTTCAATACTCGACCTCATTAGTTTTTTCTTAGAGTAATACTCTCTATTTAGATTCGTAATATTTAAATAAATAAATAAATAAATTTTATGGACTAATTTGCCGCACACTTTTTACTAGAATATAATATGCCCTTAGATTATTATTATAAAATCATAACTTCCTACTCATTTTCTAAAAACTATAGCCATTAGCCCTCCGCGGCGGCACCCGTCGGCCTCATAGCCGCGGCACCCGCTGCCCCGTCTCCGCAGCACACGCCTCCCCCTTTTCCGCGGCAGTCCTAATGCGATGTCACCGTCTCCATAAAGTAGAAATGATATAGAATCACACAAATTTTATCAAATTTGGTATGAGACAATCATATAATGGGACGAATAGAAAAGGAAAGACGAGACCATCTTATCGGGACGGAGAGTGTATTTTATTTAAGTCATACATTTGGTTTTATATTATTTATTTAATTATTTATTTATAATTGTTATGCGTATGCATATATAAATGTAGGGAAAAGGTGCAAATAGGCCCATGTACTAACCAAAAAAGGTCAAATAAGCCCTTATTTAGAAGGCTCTGTCCGGCCGTCGTCATTTGGGGTGGTTCCTGGTGGAATTTTTTGATGAATTTTTTTGATCATCTTATTCATCAAGTCTAGTTTACTCATACCAAATTTCAGCTAAAACTTCAATCGGGAAGACATTCAAATGAATTCTTGAAAATAACTGCGCAGTTAGAAGCGCAGTTATTTTCAATAATTCATTTGAATGTCTTCCCGATTGAAGTTTTAGTTGAAATTTGGTATGAGTAAACTGGACTTGATGAATAAGATGCTCCAAAAATTGCATCAAAAAATTCCACCGGGAACCACCCCAAATGGCGACGACCGTAATAGGCTAATATAATTAGGAATCTACCTAATAGATATTTAGGAATCTGCCTAATATCTATTTAGGAATACTTTGTATTTTGGCAACTCTTCTATTATAAATATATCTGTCAGGACTCCTATTGGAGTACCTCTTTTCCATTATTTCACATGGTATCAAGAGCTTAGGTTTTTAGATACAGTTTTTTTTTTTTCTTTTTTTTTTTTTTCGGTTCCCATGAACCTTATTATGGCCGCCGCCGCCTCGGGGTCGACTGCCGCCACATTTACGGTAGTCTCCGATCCTTTGAAGATGAGCGCGGCTAATATGGCGCAGATCACCTCCTTCGCGTCGCTGAACACGGTGCTTGCTTTCAGCATGCCGTTGAGTTCGCCGCCTGCTGCTGCCTATGTCCGCGCAACCCACCTTCTCTGCGTCGCTGACCACGGTGCTTGCTTCAAGCGCGTTGTTGAGTTCGCCGCTGGCTGCTGCAGACATATATTCTCATGGAGATCTTATTGTCAAAGATGTGCCTTCTAATCTTCCGCTCACGGATATATTTACTAAGAGTTTTTTTTTTAGTTTGCAATTTTATTTTTTTAAAAGACAACCTGCGCGTTGTATCTCCCGCACAGTTTGAGGGGGTGTAATAGGCTAATATAATTAGGAATCTACCTAATAGATATTTAGGAATCTGCCTAATATCTATTTAGGAATACTTTGTATTTTGGCAACTCTTCTATTATAAATATATCTGTCAGGACTCCTATTGGAGTACCTCTTTTCCATTATTTCACATGCCTAATATCTATTAGGTAGATTCCTAATTATATTAGCCTATTAGACCGGACATAGCCTCCTAAATAAGGGCTTATTTGACCTTTTTTGGTTAGTACATGAGCCTATTAGCACCTTTTCCCTATAAAGAATGATTGTATTGTTCTAAAATGTTTTAAACTATGAGATGTTAGTAAATTAATTAGTTACCATCAATGTTAACGGAAAATTTTAACGGAAGGACTCGATTAATATAGATTGAATAGATTAAGGGCTAAAATGATAGATTTACTAGTTCGAGGACCAAAATGATATGATGAAAATAGTTCAAGGACCATTAATGCATTTTACTCATAATTATGTCATTTAAGTTGAGACTAGTCGAAAAAGTAAAGATGAGGTGATTTTGGTTGAATATTATGATCAACTGAACTATGGGAAGTTTGGTGATTCTTGTTGAGCATTTCAAACACATCAATCTAAGAGGGGAGTATTCTACATGGTTAAAGGTGTAAGGGGATTATTGAGGAGTTATTGCGTTTGTGACATTTGCTCAAGGGGTGGAATGTGCCACAAGTACAAGAAATGAGTGTCTTCTTCATTTTAGATGCAGAATTAACTGTGTAAATATGTTAATATATAATGTATAATAAATTATTGAGAGAAGTTCGCTATCCAGAGTTAGATGAGCCCAAAGTAATAGCCTCCACCACATACCATATTAAATGTTATAAGAACTTGATATCTTACTTGGTTATACAAGAAAGATACATAAATGAGATTAATGATATGCTAGGGCTA